ATACAGTATGTTAACTGAGAAAGTTCTGCACACTGTTTTCCATTTTGAGGCAATCAAGGTGTCGGCCATTAACCTCTTGTCACTTCTCAAAGGTCAGCTGGGCCTTTTGTTGATCTTGAGTTACACTATTATGCTGATGAAATCAGGTAACCAGCTGAATCAACATGCTTTGTTTCAGAGTGTCTCCACCTCTATGTAACCCCTCCCCCTTGAAAGGTATATGAACACAAGGTATTTTGGCTTAGGTCAGACTTGGCTAAGATTTTTGGACGAAGCAGACTTGGGAATACTACAGCAATGCAACAGCAATAAAGAACCCCGCTTAAAAAGATACACCCGAGTCTCCTGGTCTTCGCTTCTGAGTTTCCTACACTTTAGAAGAAAAAAGTTCACAACACTGTCAAATTGAAAGCAGCTTTTGCGGATGTGTTTCAATTTCTATTTAAAAAATCCAAAATGTAAATATTCAAAACTAAAACATGCCAATTGTTCATAAACAAGGTCAAAGGTCAAGCTTCAGTATTCCACAGGAAATGTAGATTATTAGACTGTTCAATCACAGAACTACTAAAATTCTCTGGAGCAGTGAAGCTGTGTCACGTACTGTATATCAGATGACAAGGAAGCCACGACAAGAAGAAATTATCACAACTGGCTTTAATAGAATAATTTGTGAACCTACAAAAAAAAGTCTTGGAAACACTTTACAGTATTGGGAAGTATTGGAATTACTTTACAATAAGGTTTCATTTGTTAACATTAGTTATTGTACTGTTTTAACTAACATGAACTAACCATGAGCAACACATATGTTTCTGTATTTGTTCATCTTTGTTAATTTAAGTTAATAAAAATACTTTATTTATAACAGCACTATAAATAACAACATGGGTTATGTGGTTCATAGCTTTAGGCAAGGCAAGTTAATTCATTTTGCACATTTCATACACAAACAGAAAAGGAATTAAAATAATAACAGCATATGCATAATACATCATAAGAAATAAAAAATATCAATCATATTTAAATAAAGGCTAAAATATTGCCTTAATCACTAAGTTTTGGGTACCACTATCTGGAGTGGAAGAAATGGAGAGTCAGGTTCATGATTTTTCACTCGACATGCCGCTTCTGGTGTCTCCACTCTCGTGGGGGTGTTTGCACACCGATTCACTCCCTGCCCAATATGGCGTCAGTGCTACCAATTAGAGTGACACTTTGTTGTCCATCAGAGCGGATCTACACGTGTCTTCCTCACACGTAGGGAATGACTACTCCTTTGTTGGGTAATTGTGTTTAAACAGTACCCTTGAAGACAAATCTTCTTGGTCCCACCATGGATGTCTAAAGCCCCAAAGGCTTAAAAACAATTATACACCTGTTGCTACACAGATGTATATTTACACAGACAAGCAGGACTGGTATCTCTTTACTCACTTCTGAGTGTAAATATACCATTGATCATTCCATCCTTCTGAACTGCCTAACTCAGTTTGTTGGTTTTTAAATGTTCCCTTTCGAACGGTCACTTCGTATTGCGTAGCTATACGCAGTGGGGGAAACTCCTTTTCCTCGATTTACTGAAGCCTATATGTAAAACGCATTTGCAGCTGCACAGCTAGCACACTGAGCGTTAGACGCGCTCATAGGCTGTGCTGCAGCAACTGCACATCCAATGGCGCGGGCGACTCTGACGCGCGACCAGTGAGCTAGCCCAACGTCAGAGCCCGCCGAGGGGGCGTGGCCCAGCCTATATAGACCCCCGAATTCGCCATTATAGCAGGTTTATACTCCTTCAGCGACAGTACACATGTCCCTGAGCTTCTACTGATTATTCGCCGTCGAACAAGCCTTTCAGCCTGAGCGTGCTTCTCTTCAGCAGACTTCGCCTGCACGTCGATTGTCTCCTGACGCCGTCTCAACTGTGGCTATCCGGCGACAGCCTATATCCTTTTAAGCAAGCATTGTGTTATTTTCAGATGCCTCGTTCATCCTGCGCCACGTGCGGAGGCCGTCTGCACGAGGCAGACCAACACTCGAGCTGCATTTCCTGCCTGGGGATCGACCACGCGGAAAATGCACTCTCTGCCGGCGGATGTGCGGCCTGCGAAAGCATGCCTATCTCCGTGCTGCGCAATCGGCTAGCTCTCTCCCGAGACGGCGATGCCGCTTCAACCACGCTTTCTGTTCCAAGGAAGAAGAAGCGTCGCAGCCAACGGCAACCGGAGGGTATGGAAGCTAGTGAATGCACGCCGGCCGCGTCCCCGCGTTCTTCACTTTCTCCTACTCACACGCCATCACCGGTCCTGTTCGTAGGAGACCAGCGCCCCCCCTCTTACGTGGCAGGCCTCGTCTCCTTCGGCGGGTCTCTCGAACTCGACGACAGTCTGTCCATCGCCGCTTCTGAGGATGAGTGGCCGGGCTCTCTCGACCCCGTCACCGCTTCTCAGTCTGTGGCCAGTGGTTCAGCGACCAGGACAAACTCCGACGCCAAAATGCTTCGGATCCTGACGAAGGCCGTCGCGGACTTCGAGCTAGAGTGGGCCACGCCCGAGGAGCCGCCTCGTAGTCGGCTGGATGGATGGTTCCTGTCGGGGCGCCAGCAGGTCCCTCGTCACAAACCAGCGCAATTTTTCCCCGAAGTCCACGAGGAGCTTACCAAGGCCTGGCGCGCTCCTTACTCAGCACGTGTGGGATCTGCAGTTTCCGCGACGCTCTCCTCCGTGGATGGCGCAGCGGAAAAGGGTTATGAGTCTTTGCCGCCCCTCGAAGAGGCCGTGGCCGCTTATCTTTGCCCGAGTACTGCAGCTAGCTGGCGAGCTAGAGCCGCGCATCCCAACAAACCTTGCCGAAACACTTCAGCCCTCGCTGGACGCGCGTATTCCGCCTCCGGTCAGGCTGCTTTGGCCCTGCACACGATGGCCGTGTTGCAGGTCTACCAGGCCAAACTCCTCCAGTCCATGGACGAGGCTGGCCCGGACCCGGAGGCCTTTCGAGACCTGAGAAGTGCTACAGACCTAGCGCTGCGTGCTACTAAGGCTACAGAACAGGCCATCGGAAGGAACATGGCGAGTTTGGTCGTGCTCGAGCGCCATCTTTGGCTCAACCTCACTGAGATCAAAGAAGCCGACAGGACTAGATTCCTCGACACCCCGGTTTCCAGCTCCGGTCTCTTCGGCCCGGCGGTGAAAGGATTCTCGGAGAGGTACACAGAGGCACAGAAAGCGTCCCAGGCTATGCGACACTTCTTGCCGAAACGCTCAAACTTCTCGACCAGCAAGCCCAAACCACCGCCTTCGCCTCATCCAGCCAAACCGGTGAAGCAGGCCTCTCAGCGCCGCCATGCGGCCGCTGATAGCCACCGCCAGTCAAGGCCCGCAAAGCGCTACCCGCTCCCCCAGCGTCAAGGCCCGCGAGCCAGCGTCGTGATTGACCAGGTACCACCGAAGTCGTCCTAGCAACAAGCAGGAAGAGAGAGGGCTGGGGATTTTATTATTGTAAAAAGGCCCGCAGCGGTGAGCGCGTCTTAGCAAACAAACGCCGTTTTCACGGCGACCCAAATAAAGCACAAAAAGAGCATGTTTCACAATCACAACACACGGGTTCACAGTCCCCCTTCTCTAGGTGGCCCCCTCCCTGTTGTAACACTGACTTTCCCCCGGGCAAAAGCCTGGATAGTCAGTCAAACACTCAGTATGTGCACAAATCACATAATAAGGGTATCAGGTCCCCCTATGTTAGGCGGCCCGTCCCATTCAGTGTGTCAAGCCCTAGCCACACGGGCCATGGCCTGGCAAGCTATCCCCGGTGTGTCGAGTTGGGTCATAAACACTATAAAGCGAGGCTACTCGCTCCAATTCGCTCGCAGACCCCCCAAATTCCAGGCGGTTATCGAGACGTCGGTGAGAAGCAGCGTGGGTCACGTGCTTCGCACCGAAGTTCAGAATTTATTAGCAAAAGGAGCAATAGAATCAGTCCCTCCCGCGCTAATGTATTCGGGGTTCTACAGCCGCTATTGTCTAGTCCCAAAGAAAGATGGCGGACTCAGACCCATACTAGATCTGAGACATTTGAACAAGGCTCTCATGAGACGGCCTTTCAAAATGTTAACACTCAAACAAATTCTCGCGCAAGTTCGCCCGGGCGATTGGTTTGTTACAATGGATCTGAAAGATGCATATTTTCATATTCAGATCGACCCTCGTTACAGGCCATTCTTGAGATTCGCCTTCGAGGGGAGGGCATATCAATACACCGTCCTGCCGTTCGGTCTGTCCCTGGCACCCCGCACATTCACGAAATGTATGGATGCAGCGCTCTCCCCACTGAAAAGCTCCCCACTGGCGCAGTCGAGAGACGAACTGGTAGTTCACAGGGATTTGATTCTCGGCCATCTAAAATGCCTGGGGCTCACAATCAATGTTACCAAGAGCAAACTGCCCCCCAGCCAGACTGTAGTCTTTCTGGGCACGGTTTTAGACTCGGTGACAATGAAAGCGCGGCTCACTCAAGAGGGCGCGCTCTCTGTACAGACACTGGCAGCTGCGTTCAGGGCGCGCGAGCGCACGCCTCTGAAGAAATTTCAGAAACTACTTGGTCTAATGGCAGCTGCATCATCAGTACTCCGCTTGGGATTACTGCTCATGCGCCCGCTACAGCACTGGCTGAAACGCCGTGTGCCAACCCATGCATGGCAGTCAGGCAGCCTGCGCATTATGGTGAATCACGGGTGTTTAAGAACACTGATTCCCTGGCGGGCTCAGGACTGGTACCACAATGGGGTGACCATGGGGGTAGTTTCCAGAAGGAAGGTGGTTTTTATAGACGCGTCCAACCTGGGTTGGGGAGCGCTGCACGAGGGCAAGCCTGCCTCGGGCCTCTGGTCGAGCACGGAGCAGAGCTTACATATCAACTGTCTGGAAATGAAAGCAGTTGGTTTGGCCCTGGAAGCTTTTCTGTCAAACCTCAGGGGTCACCACGTCCTGGTCCGTACAGACAACATGTCTGTGGTGGCCTACATAAATCGTCAGGGCGGCATCAGGTCAGGCAACCTGTATGCTATGGCGAGGGACCTCCTCATGTGGGCACAGGCCAATCTGAGCTCTCTGAGAGCAGCGCATATCCCGGGCGTCCAAAATGTGGGCGCGGATATGCTCTCACGGGGCAACACTCCCCTAGGCGAGTGGTCCCTGAACCCTCGGACGGTCAGTCTAATATGGGAGATGTTCGGCGAGGCCGAAGTCGACCTTTTCGGCTCGAGAGCCAACACCCACTGCAGGGTGTTCTTCTCGAAAAACAGGGACGCGCTGGCTCATCTCTGGCCCAGCCACCCCCTTTATGCTTTTCCCCTGATCCCACAAGTCATCGATCGGGTCAGGGAGAGCGGATGCCCAGTCCTTCTGGTGGCTCCTCTCTGGAAATCCAGACCATGGTTTCCGGAACTGGTTCAGTTGTCAGACACGATCCCCTGGCCTGTTCCGATGAGGAAGGATCTCCTCACACAGGCCAACGGAACGATATGGCATCCCCGACCCGATTTATGGGCCCTCCATGTGTGGCCCCTAAACGGGTACCCGGGGACCTTCCTGACAGGGTCTTAAGCACTATCTCTGAAGCAAGGGCCCCGTCTACTCGGCGCCTTTATGCTTTAAAGTGGTCGGGTTTTTCCAGCTGGTGCTCGAGAAATCGTATTGACCCAGAGTCATGTGAGGTTTCTGTGGTGCTCTCCTTCCTGCAGGAGCTACTGGACGCGGGCCGCACCCCGTCCACGCTCAAAGTGTACGCGGCAGCCATCGCAGCGCATCATGCTTTGGTGGCTGGCCAATCACTAGGAAGGAATGACCTGGTGGTAAAGTTTCTGAAAGGTGCTAGGAGGATTAACCCTTCCAGGCCCCCTTTGGTGCCGCCTTGGGACCTCTCCACGGTCCTTAGGGCCCTGAAGGGACCACCTTTTGAGCAGCTCCAGTCGGTTGATCTAAAACCACTTTCGCTAAAGACTGCTCTCCTGTTGGCATTGGCATCTATCAAGCGAGTGGGAGATCTGCAGGCCCTCTCTGTGAGTCCTGCATGTTTGGAGTTTGGAACGGATGACTCCAGAGTCATTCTCAAACCCAGGCATGGTTACGTACCCAAGGTGCTCTCAACGCCGTTTAGAGCACAAGTTGTTACGCTGTTAGCCCTTCCCCCTTCTGCCAAGGATGGGGAGGTTAATCTTCTCTGCCCTGTCAGGGCGTTGAGAATCTATCTGGAGCGTTCTGCGTCTTTTAGACAGTCAGAACAGCTGTTTGTCTGCTTTGGTGGCCGATCTAAGGGTGATCCAGTCACTAAGCAAAGACTGTCTAGATGGATAGTGGATGTCATTTCTTTGGCCTACACCTCAGTGGGTCAGGTTTGCCCCATAGGTGTCAAGGCCCATTCGACCAGAGGCATGGCCTCGTCGTGGGCTTGGTCATCTGGTTTTCCCATTCATATTTGTGATGCGGCCGGCTGGTCCTCGCCTTCCACATTTATGAAGTTCTATAATATGGAGGTACCTTCCCTGCAGCCGAAGGTGCTTTCGGTATGATTGAGACCTGACGGTGTCTGGTCTTGTCTACAAAAATTACTGTGCATAATCACATACATATTTATATAAACCCGCTTCGGCCGGTTATAAAGTTATACTAATAATCCCGACGGTGTCTGGTTTTATTAGTATATTCTGTTAGTTGTTACTGACTTTATATATATATTATTCAGACCCGACAGTGTCTGGTCTGTTATATATACGTATATGCATATATTATTGGGTTCTGGTTTGTTCTGTTAACTCAGGGGTCCTGAGTTGCAGTGCAACCAGTTACTTAGGGTGCGGCGTTTTGCATGCCGTCCCCACTGCGTATAGCTACGCAATACGAAGTGACCGTTCGAAAGGGAACTACTCGGTTACTATCGTAACCTCAGTTCCCTGAGAGAGGGAACGAGTATTGCGTAGCCGGCCACACTATAGTAACTGGTGAAGTTGTCGCTTCAGTCGTATAAACCTGCTATAATGGCGAATTCGGGGGTCTATATAGGCTGGGCCACGCCCCCTCGGCGGGCTCTGACGTTGGGCTAGCTCATTGGTCGCAGAGTCGCCCGCGCCATTGGATGTGCAGTTGCTGCAGCACAGCCTATGAGCGCGTCTAACGCTCAGTGTGCTAGCTGTGCAGCTGCAAATGCGTTTTACATATAGGCTTCAGTAAATCGAGGAAAAGGAGTTTCCCCCACTGCGTATAGCTACGCAATACTCGTTCCCTCTCTCAGGGAACTGAGGTTACGATAGTAACCGAGTAGGTTTTCCTCTTACTTGGAGCAAAAATCTTTTACAGTTAAGCTTGGGAATTATTGTTCCTCTCCTGCATCTATTGACTGTTGGGTCCCTCAAGGATCCATTTTGGGTCCAGTCTTGTTTTCACTGTATATGCTCCCCTTGGGAACGATTTAAAAAAAAATTGGTATCCTTTAACATCTCTATGCGGATGACAATCATAGTTATACCTTTGAGGCCAAATAGTGATGACTCAGGGGCTACACTTCTTAAATGTCTGGAGGAAGTAAAAACGTGGATGGTCGATAATCTTGTCCAATTAAATGAACAGAAAACAGAAATTATCATCTTTGTTCGTACAGTTTGTAATAAGACTGTAAATGATAAATTAGAAGCTTGGGGCAGCTCCCTACAGGGTCAAGTAAAAAACTTGGGAGTCATTTACATTTATTCATTTAGCAGACACTTTTATCCAAAGCGACTTACAAATGAGAACAATATAAGCAGTTAAACTAACAGTAGGACAACATTAGGCAAGTGCTATGACCCTTCTCAGTTTAATCTAACGCATTACATGTACTTTTTTTTATAAATAAAAAATAGAATAGAAGAGAAAGTGTTACTGGATCAAGTGCTGCCGAAAAAGATGCGTCTTCAGCAGTTTCTTGAAAGTGGCCACTGACTCAACAGCTCTGGTTGAGTTAGATCATTCCTTCAGCAGGGAACAGTCATGGTAAAGGTCCGAGAAAGAGATTCTGTGTCTCTTTGAGATGGAACCACAAGACGACGTTCGCTTGCAGAGGGCAAGTTTCTGGATGGCACATAAGTCTGAAGTATTTAGTTTAGGTAAAAGGGAGCAGTGCCAGTGGTTGTTCTGTAGGCAAACATCAGTGACTTGAATTTAATGCGAGCGGCAACTGACAACCAGTGCAGTTTTGTGAGGAGAGGAGTGACGTGTGCTCTCTTCGGCTCATTAAAGACCACTCTGGCTGCAGCATCTGGATCAGTTGCAGAGGTTTGACAGTGCAAGCTGGAAGACCAGCCAGGAGAGCATTACAATAGTCCAGTCTGGAGAGAACAAGCGCTTGGACAAGGAGTTGTGTAGCTCTGTTAGGCAGGGCCTGATCTTCCTAATGTTGTCCTATCTTTGTGTCCGTACAACATTATGTATTTTTATGTGTAGTAAAGCTGTGGAACGGATTAAGTTCAGTGCTCAAGCATGACCCAGTTCAAAAAGCGGTACAAAAATGTTTTTCACAAGGTACAGGGAGGAAGAAGGGCTTTGCCTAGGTGTTCTCACAGATTATTTGTTTATCAGATTTCTTACACTATTTATTCTGTATGGTGAATATATACATGTGTAAATATGTATGTTTTCTTAGCATTTTTTGGTGTGTGGGGATAAACAAATATATGTTGTAAATTTTAAGTAATGTATTAAGAGAGGATTAAGATATACTGTAATTATTAAATTCAGTTCACATTTATTTGTATAGCGCTTTTCACAATACATGTTTCAAAGCAGCTTTACAGAAAATGTGAAAATGAGTCCACATTACAGTTTAGAGTGATCTGTTATCAGAGGTTACAAAGGTATTAAATTAAACAATGTAATAATTTAAAGCAGAAACAATGAGCTTATTGAAGTAATGAATACTTGTTTGTTAACAAATTATTATTTATTTATGATAATTATGAAGGCAATCTGATGATTATTAATGAGTAGTGGAGAAGGGGTAGGATTAAATAAGCTTATGCATCTTCCTACTCGTTTTCAGACATGTATAAGTTAATATTGTTTTATTTGTTTTGTTTTGTTTTGTCTGTCTATTAGCTTTTATTGTATTATTTATACATGTTCAAAATAAAGTAATTAATTAATTCATAAACTGAGTGTATATATACATATATAGCAAAACAAAGGGAGTAACTAACTAGACACACCTGAACAGAAAACTAAATCAATGTATAACATGGTAACAAACCATAGACAGTAAAAGAAATGGACACAGCGACCCCATAGATTTCAACGGAGAAAGTTGAAGCCCATAAAAGCACTCACTTCCTGATAGCCAAGCGTTCTGCGCAGGCTCAAACCGAGCTTGACGACGTAGATGTGACGTGAGCAACCGTTCTGACCTTCTAGTAGCTGTGCCGAGACAGATCTGAATTGAAATCTAAAACAAATCTGTTGTTGAAATATTTTGTCCCGTTGCTTTTATTAACTGTTGAAATATTTTGTCCCGTTGCTTTTATGAACTCTCTATCTATGGGCTTCTCCCTGGACTTTATGCCTCCATGTCCACCCGATTGCCTCATAGACAGTAAACGATTGCCTATGAGCTTCTCCTTCTGTCTATACGGTCATTTCTCTACTGTGCAACAGAGAGTCCCGTGGTTATGACGCAATCGTTAGCCTATTTTTACAAAAAATGGCTTCTACGGGGCCATAACGTAAGATACAAAGTAATGGAGCGTTTCATCCATTGTCCTGTTTCTTAAGAAATAAAAAATGAACAAATGGAGTCTTTGGACGCCTCAGATGTAAAGTTATTCGCTGTCAAAGTGACGTCAAAATGAATGGGAGTCAATGGAATGCTAACAGCAGGTGATAGTCAGCTACAATGGCGGCTCCCAATTTCCTCAATTTCCGGCGGATGGATTACCCCCTTGTAACAAACAGGAGGGGAATGGAAGAGAACAGAACTATTTAACATACTAGAAGACTAACAATGAAATTCACACAAACACAAATAACTCACATAGCAAGCTGAAAGTTTTGCTGTAATTTTATAATCTTACACATACACAGAAAAACCCACATCGTTTTTTTGGTCCCAGTTTATATTAAGTGGCTTTAAGTATTATGTACTAACATCGAAAAATAAGTACAATGTACTCAAGCCCCGTTCACACTACAAGCGACTTTGTCGCTGCATGTCGCCAGTGGCTGGTGATGAGGTCGCTAGTGGGAGTTCCCACTACTGGTTGCCTTTATGAATGACATCCAATGATGTGGAGAAGGATCATACGCGCTCCGCTCCTATTGGTTGTCACTCCCGAAAGTCGCTCCTCATTTGCATAAAGTTAAACAGATCTCAACTTTGTCGCGTCGCCAGACGCCCCATCCGGTCGCTGTCGCGCGTGTCGCCGGAAATCGCCAGCTCCCCATTGAAATGAATGGTATCGCGTCGCTTGGTCGCGTGTAGTGTGAACGGGGCTTTATTGTGTTCATGTTGTATTGCAAAACACTTATGCTGCTATTGAGGTGTGATACTGGTAAGGTTAGGGTCAGGTTAGGTTAGGGACAGGTGAGGTTAGGGTCAGGTTAGGGACAGGTGAGGTTAGGGACAGGTGAGGTTAGTGACAGGTGAGGTTAGGGACAGGTGAGATTAGGGACAGGTGAGATTAGGGACAGGTGAGGTTAGGGACAGGTGAGGTTAGGGACAGTGAGGTTAGGGACAGGTGAGGTTCGGGACAGGTGAGGTTAGGGTCAGGTTAGGTTAGGGACAGGTGAGGTAAGGGTCTGGTAAGGTTAGGGACAGGTTAGGTTAGGGACAGATGAGGTTAGGGTCAGGTTAGGTTAGGGACAGGTTAGGTTAGGGACAGGTGAGTTTAGTGGACAGGTGAGGTTAGTGTCAGGTTAGGTTAGGTTAGGGACAGGTGAGGTTAGTGGACAGGTGAGGTTAGTGTCAGGTGAGGTTAGGGACAGGTGAGGTTAGGGTCAGGTGAGGTTAGTGACAGGTGAGGTTAGGTACAGGTAAGGTTAGGGACAGGTGAGATTAGGGACAGGTGAGATTAGGGACAGGTGAGGTTAGGGACAGTGAGGTTAGGGACAGGTGAGGTTCGGGACAGGTGAGGTTAGGGTCAGGTTAGGTTAGGGACAGGTGAGGTAAGGGTCTGGTAAGGTTAGGGACAGGTTAGGTTAGGGACAGATGAGGTTAGGGTCAGGTTAGGTTAGGGACAGGTTAGGTTAGGGACAGGTGAGTTTAGTGGACAGGTGAGGTTAGTGTCAGGTTAGGTTAGGTTAGGGACAGGTGAGGTTAGTGGACAGGTGAGGTTAGTGTCAGGTGAGGTTAGGGACAGGTGAGGTTAGGTGAGTAAGGGAACCCAGGTGGTTGGTGGTAATTTTCCCATTCAAAGAAGTTGCCATTGTCAGCACATGCACTTCGAAGTCCGCATGCTCGAAATGGACGACACGAGCTGCTTATTCTAATGGTGACGTGGACGTTTTCTAAAATCTCAGGTAAGAGGGCCAAATTGCTCACAGGCTCCGAGGCGGGCCACCAAGTGCTAATGGAGCCCCCTAACTGACTATCTTCACCATAGTCCTCCTCAGTACCACGAAGTGCCTATTTTGACCCCTAACCACCTAAACTCTGGACGGTCCCCAGAGTTCTGTGTCCACGTCTGCTCGTTTGGCCGAAAAAGGCCCCCTTGACCTGGAACCGCCTGTGAAGTTTGAATTGAATAAGTTGCACGTGGGCGGTCGGAAATACAGGGGTCAAAAGGTTGCAGCGACTCCAAATTTGGCATCATGGAAGTCCAGGGGCCCCCGGTTCTAGATCCTGGATCGCAGGGTTCTAGATCGGTTCCAAGTGTGTCTTTTTGCAGTGCAGATTTCTCCTCACTTTGGTTCTGTTTGACCACTTAAGAGAATATGTCTGGGTAACACTTTATTTTAAGGTGCTTGTAATAAGCAGTAATTAACAGTTAATAAGACACTTATAAGACCTTATAAGATGCATATAAGATGCATATAAGATGCATATAAGCATTAACTAATGATAATAAATAAATAAAATAAAATAATATATTTCTCAAGTATCAATACATTGCACTTTTAGAACAGCCGAACAAACATAAATGGTAACACAAACTCCCAGGCCCTTAAAAATTGACCTTCCCAAGAGGGAGTAGTTTCCCTGATCTCTTCAGGGCCTGGACCTTTAATTAACCCTTATATGAAGTAGTTAATGCTTATATGCATCTTATATGCATCTTATAAGGTCTTATAAGTGTCTTATTAACTGTTAATTACTGCTTATTACAGCACCTTAAAATAAAGTGTTACCTATGTCTGTCTATGAGTGCAAGGGGCCTCCCATTTATTTCACCATGTGCTTCGTGACGGGTGGACAGAAAGTCCGATCGGCCCGAAACTGACATATGCGTCCCGTCACAGGCCCCCGTGGACGGTCCCCAGAGTTCCGTGTCCCTTCGACCTTTTTTCACGCTAATTGGCCACCAACAGCCTATGTAGAATAGGTGGCAAGTGGGACATCTAAAAAACAGGGGCCAAAAGGTTGCAGCAACTCCAAATTTGACACGCTGCTAGTCCACGGGCCCCCGGTTCTAGATCCCGGATTTCGTGGTTCTAGATTGGTTCTAAGTATGTGTTTCAGCAAAACGGTTTGAAAGAAAGGGCAGATTGTCCCGAAACTGACATATGTGTCCCGTCATGGGCGACCTGGGACGGTCCCCAGAGTTCTGCATCCCTTTGATCTTTATTCACGCTAAGTGGCCACCAACAGCCTAGTAGAATAAGTTGCAAGTGGGACATCTAGAAAACAGGGGCCAAATGGGGTCAAAAGGTTGCAGCAACTCCAGATTTGACACGGTGCTAGTCCAGGGGCCCCCGGTTCTAAATTCCGGATTTCGTGGTTCTAGATCGGTTCTAAGTATGTTTCAGCCAAACGGCTTGAAAGAAAGGCCCGATTGTCCCGAAACTGACACATGCGTCTTGTCATGGGCCCCTGGGGCGGTCCCCAGAGTTCCGTGCCCCTTTGACCTTTTTTCACGCTAATTGCCCACCAACAGCCTAGTAGAATAAGTTGCAAGTAGGACATCTTGGAGCCTTACTGTGCCCACCTGTGACTTATTCGACAGGGTCCCTGTAAACTGTCGGTGGACATGTCATTTTAAGGCTTATTATGCATAATTATGACCTGTAAAGTACCTCAATATGTGTAATTGTCTTCCCTGTGCACTGTACTCTATGATTTAAGCAATAAAACATTTATAATTATGAAGTTTGACCTATTAATGCATTTACCACGGACAGCCTATAGAGGTCCCATCAAATAAGTTACAGGTGGGCCCTTACTGTACCCACCTGGAACTTATTCAAATGCAAATTTTCAGCGGTTGAATTCCTGTAACCTTTTGGGATTTTCATCAAAGTAGATGAAGTCCAGTGAGTAACTTATTTGACAGGGTCAATATAAATTTGAAACATTTATATTAATGAATTATGACCTATGGCCTGCAGGGGTCACGTCAATGCTGTTTTCGGTTAGGGGGACGAATAGGCTGTTCGTGGTCAGTGGGCAGGGCCCCAGGCTGTCACTTAGATTGTCAGTGGTCGCATATGCAGTTCATGGTCACACAGGCGCTCAGGGGGACTAATAGGCTGTTCGTGGACAGTGGGCAGGGCCCCGGGCTGTCACTTAGATTGGCGGTGGACAAATAGGCCGTTCGTGGTCACACAGGCGGTCAGGGGGACAAATAGGTTGTTCGTGGTCAGTGGGCGGGGCACCGGGCTGTCACTTAGATTGGCGGTGGACGCACAGGCCGTTCGTTGTCACACAGGCGCTCAGGGGGACTAATAGGCTTTTCGTGGACAGTGGGCAGGGCCCCGGGCTGTCACTTAGATTGGCGGTGGACAAATAGGCCGTTCGTGGTCACACAGGCGGTCAGGGGAACAAATAGGTTGTTCGTGGTCAGTGGGCGGGGCACCGGGCTGTCACTTAGATTGGCGGTGGACGCACAGGCCGTTCGTTGTCACACAGGCGCTCAGGGGGACTAATAGGCTTTTCGTGGACAGTGGGCAGGGCCCCGGGCTGTCACTTAGATTGGCGGTGGACAAATAGGCCGTTCGTGGTCACACAGGCGGTCAGGGGGACAAATAGGCTGTTCATGTCAGTGGGCGTGGTCAGCCGGCGGGCACAGGCGTTCAGGGGGACGAATAGGCCGTTCGTGGTCAGTGGGCAGGGCCCCGGGCTGTCACTTAGATTGGCGGTGGACGAATAGGCCGTTCATGGTCACACAGGCACTCAGGGGGACGAATAGGCCGTTCGTGGTCAGTGGGCAGGGCACCGGGCTGTCACTTAGATTGGCGGTTGGACTCATAGGCCGTTCGGGGTTACACAGGTGGTAAGGGGGACGTATAGGCTGTTCGTGTCAGTGGGCGTGGTCAGCGGGCGGGCACAGGCGTTCAGGGGGACGAATAGGCTGTTCGTGGTCAGTGGGCGTGGTCGAGGGCGGTCGCGGGGGTGGTAAGGAGGATGTCTAGGCGTTTTGTAGACGCCCACCCGCAACCCTGGGCCCCAGGCGACGCCTCTGGCCTCCCTTCGGGCCCCGCACGGTCATCAGGACCGCAAAAAATCATCTAGGGGGCGGCGCGCAGCATCCACTAACCGCCTGCCACGTACGTCTGGCAAGGCACTTTGCGGACCCCTCGCCTTCCAGGGGTACCCTTAAGGGAGGTTTACACATTGCTTATTTAAATAAATGTATGACATTTCAAATTAATCTCTCTGGTGTCTGGATGAACTCACTCATTTTTGAACAGGCATGGGGTAAGTTGTGCCAAAGCTTATAAATTGTTTAGCCATGCCAAAGGAAAAGGACACAACACTTTCAGTTTGAATTGATATAAATAAATAAAAAATAACTCATCAAATAATGAAAGCAGTGAAAAGTGGCACAACTTACCCCAGATATCTGATCTTTTCACTCGAAAGAATGAAGAAGTTTATTTATATTTCAGCATGATTTGTTTAAAATGTTTTTTTTAATCTTTTGAAATTTCAGTTTCAAGAGAACACCCAGATGAGCGGAGGATTGTGCTGCTGGGAAGAACTGGAGTTGGGAAAAGCTCAGCAGGAAACACAATCTTAGGAAGAGACGCGTTTACAGCAAAAACATCTGTACAGCCAGTGACTAAAGAGTGTCAGAGAGAAGTAGCTGAAATCGACGGCCGACACGTTACTGTGATCGACACTCCAGGACTGAGCGGTTCTGAACCCATGACTGATGAGGAGATCAGCCACTGCATCTCCATGATCCTGCCTGGACCGCATGCCTTCATCTTCGTGCTCAATGTAAGACAACGATTCACTCGAGAAGAAGCAACAGCAGCGAAGATCATCCAGGAGATGTTCGGTGACAAGTCTTTAATGTTCACCATGGTGCTCTTCACCGGAGGAGATTGTCTGGATGACATGACTATTGAAGAGTATCTGGGAACTACACCTCCTCTGGTGGAGCTGACGGAAGCATGTGGAAACAGATTCCACGTGTTCAGTAACAAAGAAACTCGAGACCGAACACAAGTGTGTGATCTACTGGAGAAGATAGACGACATGGTGGAAGCAAACAGAGGGAGTTTCTACATGATGTTCAGACATATGGACAGAGAAGCACTAGAACAACAGATGGAGATCCTGATGGACAGAGTCAGAGAAAGAGAAGAAAAGATCAAGAAACTAGAAGAAGAGAAAGAGAGTATGGAGGAAGAACAACACAGTCATGACAAGGAGAGAAAAAGAGAAGAACTGATGGACAAACGTGAAGAGATGACACAGGAGACATTTATAAAGGAAATTGAGCTACTGAAGCAAGAAAAAGAGACAGAAAAAGAAAAATTGCAGATCAAATATGACACAGAAATAGACAGACTGATGAACAGAATAGAGAATGAGAGGAAGAGGAGAGAAGAAGAGTTTAATGAGAAAGAAGAACAACATAAAAGAGAAATTAAAGAGAAAGAAGCCAGAGAGGAACAGATTTGTGAGGAGATGAGGAGAGAACGAGTGGAATGGAATGGCACAAAGAGTAAGTTGAGATTATAATATCTGACTGTATTTGAGATAATTCCACTGTAATCCAGCATTCATGAACGCTGTTACCGGAGTCTCAACACTCCAGCTTTCAGGAGTGTGTGTTTGAGGACCGTGTGTGTGACGGCAGCTTCTTCATGAAGACTAGAGTAGCCGCTTAAATATGTTCATTCATCTGAAGTCACGACCGCATTCTAGCGAACCGTAGCGGTCACCATTAAAGCGAGTGCATTCCCTGCATCTGATATTCTTTAGCTCAATCTTTTATAATCACTAAATCAGTTTGAGTGTCCGCTGAGGAATCTCCGTCCTCTGAACTGTGAGGGGGATTTTCCACGACAGCGCTAGAGTCGAGTCTTATGTTAAAGCAAAACAACGTCCTCGTTTACAACCTGGTTTCAGTCCCAGTCGAAATCACAATCACTAATTATTATAATTAATTGACCTTCTTTCAATACCAAATACGGCATGTCATTTATATAAAATATTACTTATTGATCAATAATAATGAAATAAATAATATTAGCCACAATAAAGTATGAGACGCTTGTATAGGAAGTAAACACAGAGTTCAAAAGCAGCACTATAGTTATAGGCTACAGGATTTCCCTTAAATAAAAATATATAGTTATGAAACTTAACTTTGCCTTAAGTCAAATTGATTTGCTCTGGAACAAGTAAAAGATTAATAAGACCAAAGATTGGCCGTGTTTAAACTCAGATTCCCGCAGGACTGGCTGAGATGGCGCTGTACGAGCGCTGAACACCCGCTGGCGGTCTGGAGATCGCATCTCAACAGATTGTTTATGTTTATTTTTAAGTTGCATATTTGAGGTCTAAATAACTATGCTCGCTTAAAAACTCCTAAAACTACATTCCGTGACAAAACAACAGTCGTATTTGTAAAATGATGGTGTTTGCTCGTCCGCCATGACACTCGCTGAGAGAGTGCTGAAAGCGGAGGGATGCAGGCGGTGGATGCTAGTAGAATATCACATGACTAGGAGAGGCTCTCAGCCAATCAGAATCGAGAGCCAGAAAGAACTGGGCTGCGTTCAGCGCCGACAAAACGTTGCAGAACGTTTTTTAAACAGAAACGTTTAAATCTGTGGCAGCTGAGAAGGCTTTTTATGTTCTTTGTGAAGAATTTTCGGAGCCTGATGAAGTCGGTATAAATATGTGTTTAATACTACAAAATATGCCCGATGTTACAGTTACTGCACTTGCCGCCCAGAACACAAGAGAGCATCCCAGTCGAGTGAAGGGATTTGTGGAAACTGAAATGGAAGCACATCTTACCTAATAAAGACTAAAACACATCTATTTATCCTCACATACTGACTTTATTTGTAGTTCATACTGTTTTAATAACCTGTATTTTCTTTCTCATTTTTAGGAAAAGCACTTTACATGCGTTGTTTATTTCTATACCAAATGTCACACACTTGCAATGAAGCTAAAAATATAAACAACTACATCATTATGTTGATATCCTATATTTTTACAATAATACTTACGACAAACATGTCTTCTAATATCCTCAGTTGTTGCGTATCGAACACATTACTTCCATTGTGCGAGTTCACTTTAATACCGTGTGCTTTATATACATGTTGCTTCTGATTGGACTGCAGTTCTGACACGCCCACCAAACAAGAGAAAACGCATCTCAAACCCCGTTGCACACCGCCGCTAACATGACGTTCAACCCGGAAACCGTAGCAAAACGTTGCGCACCGTTGTGATTTTGAACGTGCCCCTGGTGTATATATGTGAACAGAAAACAATGCATGACTCTGACTGGCATCTAAACAAAAATGTGTGATTCCACATGTATGGAATAAAATAATGGCATGTTTTTGAAAGCTTGTTGAATTGAACTACTTGGAAAAAAATATGCATTGCATTAACCGTGCTTGCTTTTAAATGCATTGTATTTCTAGGTATTTTCAGCTTGCGTTTTTATGGGCTGAAATTCAACATGATTGTGTATTTAAGCTTTGAATATTTCAATTCAAAACATTTCACACACATTTTCATTTTCATTTCATTTCATTCAACATTTTCAATGTTGAATTTCAGCCCATGAAAATGCAAGCCCTAAGAATACACTGCATTAAAATGCAAGCAGGGTTAATGCCATGCATATTTATTCAAGTGGTGCAATTCAACAAGCTTTTTTGTTTCAAAAACATTTGTCATTATTTTACTTCCATATACTTGGTATTGATATAGATATAGGTTGAGAAACCCCATGTTTAAAACTGCATAAAAATCTTCCAGCAGGGTTTTCAGGTGCAGAAGGGGAAGCAGGAGATCTGGAGCCGTTGAGGATTGTGCTGATCGGGAGGACAGGAAGTGGCAAGAGTGCAACAGGAAACAGTATTCTGGGAAGAGATGAGTTTGAGAGTCAGCTGAGCATGAGCGCAGTGACGACCGACTGTCAGAAGGGAGTTTCTGGAGCTGATGGACGATCGGTGGCTGTCGTTGATACTCCAGGTCTCTTTGACAGGACATTGCCCAATGATCAAGTGATAGAAAACTTAATGAAATGTATCTCAATGTCAGCGCCTGGACCTCATGTGTTCGTCATCGTGTTGCGTTTGGGAAGATTTAACAGAATGGATATGGACACTGTGGATCTGATAAAGAGGATCTTTGGTCCAGAAACTGCTCAGTTCAGCATGGTTCTGTTCACTGGAGGAGACGAACTCGGGAAAGAGTCTGTAGAAGATTATGTGGAGAGAAGTAACAGCGCTGAACTCAAGAGACTGATCCGAGATTGTGGAGACAGATTCCTGGCTTTCAATAACAGAGACAAACGAGACCGAACTCAAGTGATACAGCTGCTAAACATGATAGAAGAGCTGAAACACACGCACGAGGGTCGATGCTTCACTAACAGCATGTTCGAGGAGGCAGAGATGGCCGTTACAAAGAGAACCAAGGAAATAATGAATGAGAAGGAGAGAGAAATGAAGACTCAACATGAGGCATTAAATGCCAAGTACGAGATGGAAGAGAAAAACATGACGAAGAGACTCGAGGAAGAGAAACGAAGAGTAGATGAGGAGAGAATAAAAACGCAGAATCAACTGAGAGAAAAAGAGGGAGAACTCAGAAAAGAGTTTGAAGAAAAAGAGAAAAGAGAACAAATGAAACAAGAGATTGAAAACCAGAAACGAACAGAAGAAGAGACCCAGAAAAGAGTTGAATATCTTAAGAAAATAGAAGAGTTTAAGAGAGAGATTGAAAATCAGAGATTACAGTATGAAAAACAGCAAGAAGAAAGAGAAGAAGAAGATGGAAAAAGAGAAGAGAAATACAGACGAGATCTAGAAAAGATGATACATGAGCACAAGCGTATTATAGCAGAGTTACAGATGAAACATGAGGAGGAAATAAAGAGGAGAGATTTGAGGCAGAAAAGGAGGAATGAAGAAGAAGAGGAGGAGAGACAGAGATGGAAAATAAAGATAAAAGAGGCTGAAAATGACAGAAAAGAGATTCGAGAGGAACTGAAACGACAGCAGAGAGAGTGGGAGGATGGAAAGAAACGACAGACGAGAGAACGAGAAGAAGAAGAAGAAAAGAGAAAGAAGAAACATGAGGAAAAGCTGAGAGAAAAACAAGAAGAACTGGAGAACATGAGAAAGATATTTGAAAGAGAGAGAGAAGAAGAAAGACTGAAGAGAGAGGAGGAGAGACAGAAACAGAGTAGAGAAAGAAAAGAGAAAGAGAGAGAATATGATGAAAAGATACGTGAAATGCAAATACATTATGAACGACTGGAACGAGAGAGAAAAGAGGAGTGGGAGAGAAGAAAACGAGAAGATGATGAGAAACGAGAGGAAGAGAGACAGAGATGGATGAAAACGATTGCAGATGTGAAACGAGAACAAGAAGAGGAGAGCAAGAGACGAGAGGAGGAGGAGAAGGAGAGAAAAGAAAGAGAAGAGAGAGAGCGAGATGAAATGAAGAGGAAACATGAAGAGGAGATTAAAGTGCTGAAGAAGAAGCATGAAGATGAAGCCAGAGAGCAAGCAGAACGGACAGATGTCAGAGAGAGACACGAGCCGAGCGTGCAGAAGATCCAGCAGATCCTGGAGGAACGACAGAAACTACAGGAGCAGAAAGAAGGAGAGATAGAAGAGCTTCTGCAGGAGATCGAACGACTGAAGAATACTCCCAGCTGTGCCGTTCTGTGACAGTTTTAATGCTCATGTATTTCTGGTTATTAACCTGAAGCTAATCCTTCCGTTTGATTAATAGATGTTATTCGATTAGAACTATCTTTAAAAAAAGGTTTTTGGGGTAATGACATTTCCATTTTGAATACTTCTATAGCAGTGTTTAATAAAAGTATCAAATGTTTTGATCTATTCTGTTTCTATTCTATTCATCAAGAGAAAATACAACTTTTCTCATTAAAACTTTCCTTTTAAAGTTCCCTGTCATGCTCCGGCTCTTCTTTTCTTCTGTCTGTATATCAGTGTTGTGAATAGCTTTAGACTCACTGTCGTCAGGTTCTTTTCTCTTTAAAGGTGCCCTAGAATGTGTTTTTTTATTAATTTATAATGTTTCCTGGGTTACCCTTATAATGTTAGTATGTTTTTTAGATAAAAAATAATCATAATTTAGAAATAAATGGTATTTTTCCTAGCCTGCTTTTAGCCTCTGATTTGAACACTCTGTTTGAAGGGGCGTGTCTCTGTGGGATTCAGTGTAACCGCGGCCACTGCTGTGATTGGCTGTGGGATTCAGTGTAACCGCGGCCTCTGCTGTGATTGGCTGTGGGATTCAGTGTAACCGCGGCCACTGCTGTGATTGGCTGTGGGATTCAGTGTAACCGCGGCCACTGCTGTGATTGGCTGTGGGATTCAGTGTAACCGCGGCCACTGCTGTGATTGGCTGTGGGATTCAGTGTAACCGCGGCCACTGCTGTGATTGGCTGTGGGATTCAGTGTAACCGCGGCCTCTGCTGTGATTGGCTGACATGCTTGCATATGAAATAGCTACGCATTACATGTAAAACTCTCTCCCGAATACTTTTACTACAGCTATTATACGTTTTTACTATAACAGCTATCGAGATTAACGAATCGTGAGATGTTTTTAAAGTATTTAGATCTATTCCCATCACATAAAATGTTGCCGTGATGAGCATTGAGCAGATGACAGTGTGTTGATCGCGAGAATGAAGATCTTATCATTGCAGCGCAGTTCCTGCACTCTCTCTGCTTTCACCAATGCAAACACGATGATGTAAATACAGTGAGAGCTTCGTTGTGCAGTGTAACGTGCGTCATTGATTTCATAACGAGTTTGGCAAGTGTCCAGATAAACTCGCGCTGTGTGGAAAGATTGTTCTTTGATCGCTTTCTGTATGTAATTTGTTCACAATTTAAATACGATTATTTTCATCCTACTAAAAGAAACGATGTGAAGCTGATATTTTAGTCACTGGCTTGACTTACTGATGCATAAACAGTATTGAACGATTTTGAGAGAAAGATTACCTGTCTGAACTTGAACAATTACACATCAGAAAGTGTTGCTTGGTAGCTCGATCCGAGGCCAGCTCTGTATTGGCCCAAGTTGAGGAAACAGTCGGTGAAATGTTTGGAAATTTCCAGAGAAAATAAAATTAACCCATTGTTTCTTCAGAGGCTCAGATGAAGGAACTAAAAAATACTTTTGTGTTCATGTGTACATCCACACTGAGCAACTGCCATGCTTCGGCTGCGCAGTTCCGCCTGGCATTGAGGGCTGGCATTATGCAAATATTTGGAGGCGTACATATTAATGATCCCGACTATTGCGTCACAGTCGGTATTGTGTGGAGAACCGACCGTTTTTCAGGGGTGTTTTTCATAAACGTGAATTAAATGAGAATGCGAAAACAGTCCAGTTTGAGATTCACTCTATGTCATGTCCATGCACTGAACTCTTGTTATTTGACTATACCAAGGTAAATTCAATTTTGAATTATAGGTCACCTTTAACAGGACTGCAGAACGAGCTGCTGTTGCACTTACTAGATACTGCGTGACTACTAAAACGTTTAGAAATCATAACTTCATATAATAGCACAGAGTTAACTTTATTAAAGCATTGATTTCTACTCTTCGAAATGGTTAAACAAGCACGGCAGGACTATACTTATTCCCTTTAGAGAAAAGCGTAAAGCTTTTCCTCAGTCTTTGCTGACGAACCATCACAACTGCCACTTGAGGCGCTATAAACGTGCACTTGGAGTCAAATGTAAGTCTAAAGTGTGGCTCATATCACATCCTTTGGCTCATATTCCTGGAGTTCTGAAGAACAGGTTCATGAGTGTGAAGATATGGTTTCAGTTCCTTCATTATTTAAGAGAGTTGGAGAGGATCTTGACCTAGTTAACGGACTGGGTTACCTGCTTCTCGGAAAGCCAGAATGTGTTGGAATTATACATTTAGCTTTACATTTTACCATATTAAAATGAAATTTGACTAGTAGAAAGTACAACCCCGACTCGTGGTCCTTTCTGAATCCTGTCAACACAATCTGAAGGAAAAGGCAAACATGCTGCATTAAACTTTAGACAGTGGCTGTTTTATGATTTTGATCATGTACTGCTGTCAGTAGAGAGTTTTAGTAACTTTAATGAGCCTAAATGAGGCGTATATGGTTTCCAAACTGGCATATGTATATTGATTCAGTTGTTGTTGTAACTGAGACTGTTCGGTCTCTCTTGCACACATTCACATCTCTCCAGCCGTAAAAGTCGTGAATTAAATTAAATCAAGGTAATACCCCAATGAAAACCGCCACTTGCCTAATAATGAAAAAACAACACTTGCATTAACACTTGCTTGGTTAATTGACATCCTATTAGCCTAAATAGACTACTTAAAGCAAGGAAATGTTGCTCCTATTGAAGTAATGTAATAGTTGAATGACGGTAGATTATGAACTCGCCCAAAACGGAAAAGAAAGCCCAACTGGACGCAGGATCAGTTACTGCTGCTGGCCCAGCTGGTGCTGGAAAAAAAAACATAATAAAAGGGAAATTCGGCACTGGGATATCAAGCAAACCTAAGCGTGAGAATGGGAGAGGATTTGTCTGCAGATCAATGCAGTGTTCCCGCTTGTGTCGCGGACCCCGGACGACTGCGAGAGGCGCTGGTGTGCGCTACAATCCTTTGTGAATCGGTCTTAGTGAGTTAGGAGTCCTCTCGACTTCTTTTAAGCTGTCCCAGACTTAGGTGCCACTTTAGGGCTAAAATGCTTCCTGAATTACTCTTAGTGAAAAAAATGAGGAGTCCTTAAGTTAGGAGTGACACGCCCATTATTTTTAGGAGTTGCTCCTAAATTCGCCAGTTAGGAGCAACTTTTAGCCTTAAGATTCTTTGTGAATACGGCCCCTGATGTGGACTTACTTTTCAAAATGATTCATAAAAAATGATAGTTTAGCACTATAGTGTTTAGCACATGATAGTTTTGCGTTAAAACAATACAATTAATGAGATTAATAGCATATTTTTGCTCCAAACTCACAGTATAATGTCAGTTGAGTCTTCTATACTGTAATAAAGGCTGTCAGGGTCGTGCGCAGGCTTACCTGTGCCTACTTGAGTCAGCATTGCATGTTAGCTTGTCTCCGTCGTGAGTGATCCTCCGTCGCCAGCGCGTCCTGGGTGGTCCCACACTATCCAGTCCCCCCGTGTTCCCTGGCTGTTACGGGGCTGTTGACACCCTGCCCGTCCTCCTCTGCCCAGTGTGGACGCCTATTAGTTTAAATCTAGACTAAAAACACTTCTCTATAACCCCCGGTGTACTCGTTACATCAGAAGCAGAATAGCATATGTTAATATCAGTCTCTCTGTTTATCCCGAGGTTAAGGAGTCCGGAGGATCAGGCGGTGGATCTGCACATTTGCCACTGTCGCCTTTGGCTTGAATAACTTGGGGACACTTAATAATAATTATTAATTATTTATAGATAAATGAACTAAATGAATAAATAAATAACGATTTTTACAACCAAACTGAATCAACACGATTGTCTTAGAGCTGCTGTACTGCATACTCGAGTTCTGTTTGCTTTGAGACATTATTTGACTGTTTATCCCTGTAAAGCTGCTTTGACTGCTGTATTGTATAAAGCACCATATAAATGAGTGTGACTTGACTGATGACACAGAGGCTATTCAGTAAGTTAGACAGTTGGCAGGGCCCTGATCAGGGCTGTTTTACGGGCCGTCTACATCGCAAATTCAGTGCACCAAAACATTAAACCGTAAACCACAAACACCAGGAGCATTGATGCCCTTCATGGGACTGACATCACTGCACGGTGTTGCCATATGGCAACATACCCTTTCTTTGGACATTTCTTGAAATTTGAAAATAAATATGAGCTCTGATTAATCTTAAATGCATGGTAGAACCTGGTGGTAACCAATGATATGCTTTGATGACATCACATGACACTACACACACTTGCACTGCCATTCTTTTCACACACTTTTGATGACTCCAGCTGCTGAAGAAGATGCCCGTGAATATGTAAAGATTTTCCTCAATTTTTCATATTTCTTCAGAATTTAAAAATTACATTAAGCATCTGGGATAAGTTCTAATCTTTTTTCAATCATTGTCAAATTGTTTTGATACTACTATTACCTTTTTATTCAATAAAATAGGTATGTTGCCATGTGGCAACATTGTACGGTAATGGAACAATATTTTGCCCATGCTAATGCAGAGTAGCTTTGTATGAATGACAATGTATGGATGCACTGATATATTTGGATGGTTGTTTTCTACTCATATATTTATATATATTTGTATATATTTCTAAAGTAAAGTAAAAGTAAAGTATAAAAGTCAAATATATATCCGTCTTGACCGCTTTGATCACTGGCCAGAGATGGGTGCACCAAAAGGAAGGTGCCAGAATCCTGTCTGCAAGGGCATCGTCAGAGGGGTTTGCTCTGAGTGCAAGTGCACCTCTGCCTTAAAGGTGGGGAATGTGATTTGAAAAACGGCCGCAGATTTTGAAAATACACAACTCAAAAGGTCCTACCTTCTTTCCTCCAACGCTGGCCCTGATTCGCTCGAGGGGGATGGGGGAGGGGGCTATGGTACGACCGTTTGATTGACACACTGACTGTCCAATGATTCTAGGTGGTCTTGGAAA